CAAAGTCAGCAGCTGGAGCTGGCAGGGCAGAAAGCAGCCCACCTCCCTGCGGCCCGCCCGGGGAGGGAAGTTTTACCGTCACCCCAAAGGACCCCCCAAACCCTGCCCACGAAAAGAAGCAGCGACAGTCTCTTCAGCAACGGGTCGGCCATGTCCCCTGCCCGTCCCACCCTGTCCTTCCTCTCCACATCCCTGTGGGGCCGTCACCTCCTCATTTTTAGGGGGGGACTTTCTACTTTGTTTTGTTCAAAGGCATTTTCTAACCACATTGTTCAGCTCTTTTTCTCTCCTGGATTCTCCTGAAAGCGGATCATCCCCACGTTTATACCAGTCCAGCAACAGCAGAGGAAAGCCTGCTGAGCTCTTCCGTAGTAAGACAGGGCCATACAGGGAAGGCAGATGAAAGGGAGCCGAATTCGCACCTCACTCACTACATATATATGATTCCCAGTTATAATATCATCCTTTCGTCTTGCTGGCGTGACAGACCTCTGAGACCAGCACTGAGAGGAGAGTAAGATGTTCCTATCCCGGTAAACCTTTCATCTTTCTCTTCAGCTAAGTGGGCAAGTGTTGTCTGTCTCTTAGCTGCATCTCCTGCGTCTGCCTGGAGCATCCCAAGGAGCCCCCTTTCTCCCCGAGGCCCTCTCTGTCACATTCAGGGACTCTGCACACACCGGCGATGCCTGGGCTGGGACATCCCTGGCACACGGCGCTTCCCCTCGGTCTGCAGCTCCACTCTCTGGAGCAGAGAAGAAGTGAAAAGAAGCTTCTGGTATTTGAATAGACCACGAATGGAAACAGCACACTGTCTTCAGGGTCAGATCTAACACGCAACTTTTTATTTCAGACTGCTGGGCCAGAATCAGGGTGGGAATGGGCTGCAAACGGCTTTCCTGGGTGCCCAATGACCACTGCCTGCAGCAGGCTTGGAAATCACAATTTTTCATTAAAATACTGCCTCTAGTTCCAATTCTCAGCTTAGAGCTGGTGACAAGAGCTTCCCAGCATGTGACACTTCAGAGCAATCTGCAAAACAAGGATGCAGCTGGGAGCAGCTGGCCTGGCTTTGTTTCTTATTTCTTATCACAGAGCAGTGCAGACGAGAGACTTTCACATGTCTGGTGGGGAAGTTCTCTCATTTAGCATCAGCTGGCTAAAGTTCGTCTGAGCTGGTCTGAGCTACAGTGTCACCTCTCTTGACGGTGTTCTTCCCCACCAGATCACGGACAAGGACATGGGATGACGCAGAACTGTGTTGTAGCTTCTACAATTGCAGCCTGTAACATGAGTTTTTGGGCCTCAGCATCATAGCCCTGAGGGTGCTAACATGCCTGACTGGCCATGACCAGCCGCACTGCTGACCCCCACCCACACGGGAACCGGGAGCCTTCAGCCCCTGCCTGAGCTGGGTGGTAGGAGTGCTGGTCTCCAGCTCTGCACAGCCATGCTTGTGCCTGGCCACAGACCCTGCTGATCCCGACCCACTGGCTGACTCCCCAGCCTGGCCCCAGACCTGCCCTGTCACTGTGGACCTGCTTGGGCATCACTGGATTGCGTCTGACCCGCTCCCCATCATTGGACCTGACCCCAACCTGTAGATCGATGTCCCGGTTTGACCCTGGATTGGCCATCCCTTGGCCATCTCCTGGAGAGCAACCAACCCCCGTTGCACCCGGACACCAAAAATGGCTTAAGAAAAGACTTACCAAGGGTCTGGCCAGCCAGCACACGCCCGTTCTCACCCAGGACAGCCGCACGCGCGTGCCTCTCGTTGGAGTACTGTACGAAGGCGTAGCCTTTGTGAACGGAGCAGCCCACCACTCGGCCGTACTTGGAGAAAATGGTCTCCACATCCGACTTCTTGACCACGGCTGTGTTGAGATTGCCAATGAAGACTCTGGAGTTGATGGACTTGGGGTCATTTTTGTTCGTGATGTTGCTCGTCTGCACCTTCAATGACATCTTGAACACCTGAATGAAGAGATCGGGAGTCAGGACGGCGTGCCAGGGAATTGCTGGAGTCTTACAAAAAGGGGTGGCGGACAAATCTCCCGGCCAGCCTGGAGCGAGGGAACCAGCTCCTCAGCTTCAGCTAGTCACGGCTGGGGGGACCTCATCTCCAGAGAGCCCCTGGGTGCTGGGAGGGGAACACTGCAGCCAGCGCAAAACTTGTGCTGGAAACCTATTTATCAGGCTGACACTCTGGGTGGTTGATTTTAGGGGACAAAACAAGATTGAAATATGTTTTACATGTAAGTAAAAGCTTTAATGCTATTATAGGAAAGCTTTTACCTCTCCATACTTAATTGCTTCATTAGAATTCAAAGGATGGCTATTTTTAAAGCAGTTTGCATTCAGCACCTTGGTTCCTGTCCAGCTCTGAGCACCCCCCAGCCCAGGCCAGCCCTCACCACGCACAGGGACAGACTCGTCCCCGCGGATCCGTGCTGGCAGATGGAAGAGGATTTGAGTTTTCTGGATGCAAATGAAGAGATTTAAGCGGCGGAGCAGCCCACGTGCTCCTATCTGATATCTGCGCTCTGCTGCCCGCCTGCACACGTACACGCTGGGCTTCGAGCTGAATTTTGTGCAAACAGGAGGTGTCACTGTTAGCTTGGGAATCACTAAGCCACCAGCTGGGAGCCACTCCAGCCCGCTGCCCAGAGCTGCAAGGCGTGCTCCCCTGGGCTTCTTGCCTGGGGTATTTCATGGGCAGCCCCTGAGAACAGGCTTCACCTCTGAAGGACAAAGAGGAGCCAGGGGCAGGGCTGAAAATTGTGTGAAATTAAAGCTAACCTGGCTGCCCTACGCTGCCTGCTCACATTGCCACAGCAGAAACCACAGCTGTCCAAAGACACCAGTTGGATTTTCACCTTCCAGAAACAGAGGGGATGCTTTGGGATCGCTGTTGCGTGTCGCACACATAGCGCGCGGTATCTCCCTGCGAGAGGTCAGCTCAGAGCCGTGGAAGGTATTCTGCGATGCACCTGGCGGTGCAGCTCTTCCTCATGCCCTGCCAGCAGTGCCAGCAGGCACTCCCAGCACCCTGGGCAATGCCACCGGGGTGTCCACAACCCCAGGGCAGTCACCGAGCCCACTGCCCCGCACCGGGGCCGCGCTCCTACCGCTGGGCACGGTGTCCCCCCCAGCAGCCCCAGCGTCTGCCTTGCACTGGGCAGAGCCAAAGCACATCCTCGGTCCCACCCAGCTCCTTCCCCTCTAGACGATGCACTCCCACTTCTCCATCCTTGCTTATCTGCCAGAGTTTATGCAAGTCCCCAGCTCATTTTGCTACCCACCCACGGCCCTCCTTTCCCCCATCCCCAGTCCCCAGAGGAACTCCTCTTGCAGGTGGCCTCCAGGCTTTGGCTCTCTGTGCTCAAAGCCCAAGTGTGTCTGAGAAGCCTGGTCCAAGGTGGCGATGGTGGCAGCTGCCCAGCGGCGCGGATGCAGCTCCTGTGGACCTGGTCCCCCTGGTCCCCAAGCCCCGACAGGCTCTGCTCACCCACAGCCCAGCCTTCCCAGGGCACTGACACCGGCAGCGCGTGATGCTCTGGCTCTGCTGAGCCCTAAACCACACAGCCAGCCTTTCCTCCTCGCTAGACAGGCAGAGGCCTGGGAAAAGCTGTGACGTTTCCTGATGGGCTTTCTGGGGTTTTGCCCAAGAGTCTCACAGAACCCAAGTCCTATTTCTTCCCTGTCTTCTCCTGCACAGAGCTTCCACGCAGGACGTCAAACCTCCGGTTGCTTCTGTCTGCCCCTAAACCTGTTTGGGGGATACCTTCATTCTGCCGATCTCACCCCGTTGCCAGGTGAGCCCCATTCTGGCTTCCTGGGTGATGGATCTCCTTCCAGTGGAGCCTCAGGACACCCGGGGGGGCCGTGTCTGCCCACAGTCCCATTTTGCCTGAGGGTACCTTCTACCCACACAGACAAGTGCTGGGGCTCGCTGCCGACAGCTCTGTATCGCCAGGATGTGAAACTTCAGCCCAGCACAGAGGCAAAGAGACAACGAGGAGGCTCGCCCAGCCCTGCACGCAGACGGTGCCCGCAGCCCCCCCCGCCCCGACCCGCAGCATCTGAACACCGACTGCGATCAACGAGCTCTGAACAGACGCGTGACCACATCCAGAGCGCCGCCTTTTCAATTTTCAGAGCACCAAGGACCGGACACTCGATTCCTTGTTCACGTAAAGCCAGACCATACAGCGTGCTGGAGGTACCCGGCAAGGCTGATCCTCCGTGCGGAGCAGGGGCAGGACGCGACGGCACAAGGCATCTCGTCCGGCTCTGACCCCTGTGACTCTGTTACCCCACCACTGAGGCTGGAAAAGATTTCCCTGCTAAATCCAATCAAAAAGAAGCCAGACTTTGTCTGAGTCTGGCTCGTTAGATTTTCCCTTTGACCCTTACAGATTAAAAACACAGAGGCTTTTTTTTTTTTTTCCTTTTAAGTAATTCCTGGCAGCACAGTGTTCCTAAAAACATTGGGAAAAAAACCCAAAGGACAGGACTTTTAAAGGAATCTAAGTGAATTAAATCTTCACATCTTTGGCAAGTGGTGCCCAGCCTCGTCAGGTTGCTCGAAGTTCCAACCTCTGTAACAGCATTTGCTTAATGCTACTTATTTTAACATCTTTTTTGCAGTGCAGTCTAGAAGATGTTCACAGAGGAAACTGTCCCCAATCCTGGTGCAGAGCTGGAGAAACAGAGGAAAAGCCAAGGCCATTTCCAGCCGTTCTGTCCCTCTGGGTACCCGGACTCGTTTCTCATAACTCCCGAGTATCTGCACAAAGTCCGTCTGGAGGCTGTTGCAAGACGGCCAGTCCCCAGGAAATCTCCATCTTAAACCAGTTGAGGCTGTGCAGGACCTTCAGGAAGCCTGCACACGTGTAGGACACCTGTCTCCAGGTAGCTCTGCATAGTCTTGGTACCCACGGACACGTCCAAGCCTTCGCGAACCCATGGCTCTCCCTGCCCTGGGGTTTCAGCGATGCTGCAAGACATCATGTGCCTTTAAACCTGGTAGCTCCTGGAGTTTCCAGTTCCTTATGCCCTTATTTTCTACTTCAGGGTAAATCTGCCCTGGTACCTCTGTTGCCCACATTGTTACACGGACATCCTTGGCCCCACTTAGCTGCTTCACCTCCAGACGATGCACTCCCACTTTTCCATCCTGGCTTATCTGCCAGAGTTTATGCAAGTCCCCAACTCATTTTGCTACCCACCCATGGCCCTCCTTTCCCCCACCCCCGGTCCCCAGCGGAACTCCTCTCACAGCTGGACTCCAGGCAGATTACCAGCCCTTATCACTCCCTTGGAGCCCCACCACCCAGCTTGCACTGCTCTTGGAGGCCACCCATCCGCCCTACCGTGTCCCACCTTGGATGCCAGGATGCTGTGGGAGATCACGTCAAAAGCCTTCCTGAAGTCAAGGCAGACATCACCCATGTCCTCTCCTTGGCCACACACTTTGCGACTGAAAGTGAGTAGGTTGGTCAAATTTGGCCATACCATTTCCAGGTCTGGCCCAGCCGCAGGCAGGCAGGAGGACTGCTCTCTTCCTCAGAATAAAATACTGCGCTCAAATAAAGTATATTCCTGTCTCTGTTTTCCTACCCCATCTCTGAGGAGTCTTACTGCTGCTACCCCAAGCCCCAGCTCAGGGGAACCCCAGGCTGCTGTTTGCCCAAACCCTTCCCCAATTCCAGCGAGCCCAGAAGTGTGTTATTTACAACAGTCTGAATCTCTGACCAGCTGTTTGCAGCTGCAAAGACCAATTACTGCAGGACGCTGAGCTCCTTTAGCCTCTGCGGGAGGGATGTGGGTTAAGCTGCCTCCCTACATGGGAATAACAAGGGCTGGCTGGAGGATTTGGGTAGGATGGAGGTGTGTGGGGGCACAAATCATGTGTTTTCCCCCAAAATCTAGTGGGCTGCCCTCTCTCAGCGGGTACAGCGTGAACCAGCTCTGCTGCTGTCGCTGGATCCTCCACTCCGTGGGTTTGTTTTGGATGAAGATGACACGTTTCTGAGGTGGGCACTAAGGCACCAGACGGATCTTCACTTGGAGAAGGACATCTCCTAAGGCATCTCCCCAGGCATGACCTTGGCCACCGTGGAGATGCAGGGATGTAGGGGAACCTGCATCTCTCCCAGGTCCCTGCTCCCTCACCCCACCTTGCACCCTCCTTGTCCTGGCTCCTGTGACACCTCCCCCAAGGTTCTTGCAGTTGAACCAGCGTGTGCTTGTCCCCTGCACTGTCTCCTCTCCTCCCCACCTGGAATGCTGGTTCCCCCCAACCTGATAAAGCCCGTGGCTGTACAAGCTGGAGATGGGAGACCCCACTTTCACTGCCCATTGTGGGGACCGGTGACGGAGTGGGAAGCTCCGCGTAAGCCCTCCCTCGGTAAAGCCCTTCCCTCGGCTGCCTGGTGGAAGCCCCAGTGGCTCTGCGCATCGGGGCCATCTCGGGACACCGCAGGTTTGCGCAGGAGACGTGCCTGTGGCTGACAGCTGAGGGGATGGGGACACCAGATGGCAAACTCAAGGTCAGGCAAGGTGACAGCCATGCCGCTGGGAGAGACCTGGGAGGAAGCCAGCGAGATCCCGACGTCTCTGCGGATGGGATGCTCTCCCAGTGCCATCCGCCCACTGACCGCGGTCCCAGCCCAGGCAGGGAGCAGGCCTTGGGCAGGGAGCAGCGTCCGAGGCTGGGGAGCTGAACTCTGGGCTTCTAGCACAGCATCCCTCTGAGATTTCAGGCACCATCAGTGATGTTCTCCATCTAACAAGCGGCCTGCGTGGCTCTCATTTAGCAGCTTATGAAACAGCCAGCTCTGGGTGTTCACCCCATGCAAAGAGCTCTTCTGCTGTCCCCACGCAAGCCCGGCAGCGCCTGGAGAAAGCAGCCTCCCTTGCCTTCTCTGTCCCTGGCATTTCAGGTATCTTCTTACACACAA